AGCAGTTCAAATATTCAAGATAGCTAATTATATTTGGCAAAGGGGGACTTGAGAAAAGAACGAGAGGAGAGGGATTAAAAGAGCTCACCAACAGGATTAATGGAAGAAGCAAGTTAGAGAGGTAATGTGACAACTGGTCACCCGGATAAAATGAATACTGTATTTTTTTTTTAAGTTTATAAAGTACAAGAGACACCTATAGTAGCTCAATGGTTATGCTCAACTTTCTTACCTTCTGAGGCTCTCCTTCTTCTCTTCACGTGATAAACAGCTGTCTAGGTGCTTATTAATGTGATTTTCTGGAATGTTAACCCCACAAACAGGACAATCCACTGTATTTTTTAAAAAGAGAAAAAGAGGTTTTATTAGTTGTAGAAAGGGCAAAAATAATATAAGGTGCCACTTTCAGCAATTAAGGTAAAAAAGAATCCCAACTTAACATGCACTCAGAAAAGCAGAAAAGAAAAAGAATGACCCATCAGGGCAACAGTAGGACAGGCTAGTTACTAGGTAATGGCTAAATTGTGGAAGTCACATAATTAGAGTCCTGGGCCTAGAGGAAGAGACTGCAAATAAGTTCGGAAATTAGTTTATTAGACAATGCTTTGTTAAATCTTTTCTACCAAGGTATGATTACACTATAAAACTAATCTTAAACTTTCCCAAGTCTTAGGAGCTATCCATGTTTAGCATAGAAGCAATGGTAACAACTTGCATAAGACATACTGGCCTGGGGGTGGGGCAGGGGATAGGTACAGCTAAATTAAAGCATTTATTGGGTTGGGCCAGCTACTGCTCAATTTTGTCAATGGTTACAAGTGTTTTTTGGTTGTTTTTTTTTGTTTGTCTTTTTTTTGAGACAGGGTCTCACTCTGTCACCCTGGCTGGAGAGCAGTGGTGTGATCTTAACTCACTGCAGCCTCAAACTCCTGGGCTCAAGCCATCCTCCTGCCTCAGCCTCCTGAGTAGCTGGTACTACAGGCATGTACCACCACGCCTAGTTAATTTTTCTATTTTTTTTATAGAGACAGGGTCTCACTCTTGCTCAGGCTGGTCTCAAACTCCTGGCCTCAAGCAATCCTCCCACGTCAGCATCCCAGGGTGTTAGCCACCATGCCTGGCCATAAATTTGTTAATTTAGCTCTCATTTGTAACTTCATACGTAATATTAAGATTAGGAAATGCAATCATTCTCAAAGTGTTTTATGAAGTTGCAGGGATCTGCAGAGGTATCTCAAGGCCTAGAAACCACCATGAATAACAGGCAGTGGCTAAGAAGGAGGTCAAGTAGAACAGCACAATCTCCAGGCCCTCCATCCCTATTTTAACAAAGCGGGGCCAATTTTATCTACTTTACAGGTTAATAGGTCATTATAAGATTTCATTTGAAAAAAATGTTCTGCTAGGGGAAAAACAATTTACTATCAAGCTAATAACACTACAACAAAAACTGTCAATTGGTAAAAAAAGACTGACCAAGGATGAGACATACTAGAGAATGTAAGTGAATTTTATATATCCTTAAGAAATGTAAACATGTGAGTACTAATAAACTAATTTCAATCTAAATTTAACATCCCTGCACTGTGTATAGTATGGGTATACCAAAGATGTCTAAGACAGTTTCTGCCTAAAGATGCTCAGAACTTCAATGGCAGGAAAAGACACAGAAACGAAAAGTTAAACAAGCACCAGTTAAGCAAACGACGTACAACACAGCCCAGAAAACAAGTGCTATAGCACTTTAGTGATGTGAGATATCAACGTTTTCTCACATAACCAAAGAATAGTTAGGATCTGGATAGAGTCTGGAAAGGTGTAGACCAGGGATTGGCAAACATTCTTAGTAAAGGGCAAAGGAATAAAGAATTTAGGCTTTATCTGTCATACTGTCTCTTTTACATATGCAACTCTGCCACTGTAGCATGAAAGCAGTCATAGACAATATGTAAACAAATGGGTATGAAAACCTTTATTTACAAAAATAGGTAGCAAGCCAGATCTGGCCTGCAAGTTGAAGTTTACCAATCCCTGGGCATGCTGGAGGAACAGCGGGGAGATCAGCTTGGTTAGAGAAGGATTTCTGAGAGGGAGAGGTGTGAAATAAGGTTGGGATAGCTAGGGTAGGGCTCCAATCATCAAAGGCTTTAAGTGTCAGGCAGAACAGCATGGAGGCATTCAAGCAGTGATATAATAAGATAAAAAGAGCTCTTTATTAAACAGGATCTGATATGATGAATGGAGAGAAGAGTTAAAAGCTAAAAAATAGAAAGCTGGTGCCATACATTAAGCATGAACTAATAAAAATTGTTTCATTTTTGCAGGCTGAATTCCTACCCTATGAGAGAGAGAGAGAGAGAACAAATATATCTAGAAGCACAGACTACATCAATTTCTGAGAATGTGATAAGGTGAAATCTAGTTTTTCCTTTCCCCCTCAAAAATGCTACCTATTTATTATGTCATGTGGATAAGAAGATTGCCATTAAGTAAGAAAATACACACATGAAAATAATTCCTACCTTTAGTAACTTGTTTAAAAATGGACGTAGATGGTGACTCAGGACCATTAGCATCTGAGGAGCCTGGAGCCATCTTTTCTACAGAATGTGTCTCTCTGGTCTCTGCAGTAGTGCTTGCCTCTTTCTGAGGGCTGAATTTGCTTTTATTTTCTCTTATCAACAACTCTGATGTAGAACCACCCATTTCTCTGATCAAGAAATTGTCCATTAACTTGCTCCCCTGCTTTAAAGAATGTCTGAAGGCTACCGGAGTGTGTGCTTTGACAGCAAGGTTCTTTGAAGAGGAAGATGCAGGAGATATGGGTGGTGACTCTAAAGCAAACTGCAACAGATGATTCCTGAAGCACAAAAACACAATTGATAATTAAGATTGCAAATTAAGTATAACAAATTAACTGACATAAGCTGCTTTCCCAATTAACACTTGTTTCTCTGACATGTAGAATTTATACTACAATGACAACCAAAGCAAAGTGTTTCTTCTAGAATAAAACACAAAGCAATAAATCTGACTTAAAATGCAATTAATATGCCTACAAAAGAAAATGGAGGGACATCAGGTTCTGGCCATGGAGAATAGCTGATATAAGGCTTACTCTCCATCCATAAATAAACTCTAAAATCTAGATAAAACATATAAAGCAATTGTTCATAGGCACTGGACTGAAATCAACACAAGGCTGCGATCCCTGAGAAAAGAAACACATGAAGTGATCCAACATCCCCCCAAGATTTTACCCTGGAAGCATTTTCTGGTAGCCGAGTATTGAACTGAAGTCCAAACAGGAACTTTTCCTCTCACTGGGTAGAGGAAATAGGGATCAGAGTTCTGGGCAAAGGTTGTTAGGATTGGGGGAACAGGGTACTTGGCATGAGGTTGCTACAGAAAGGCAGCTTAGAAATTCTCATTCATTCCTACTCATCTCCAGGGCTGCTCAAGATTAGACAGAAGCACAGGAGATCTAGTAAGAAGCAGATACTGGCAATCTGAGATTCCAAAGGTTAGTGCTGGAAAATTGTTGCTGTTTGAGCCCAGTCAAAGCTGAGAAAAACTTGGTGAAAACCATGGACATTCAGGTGAGACCCCACAAAGGTCGTACCTTAGGAAAAGGACCACATTGTGGAAATATAAACAAAACCAAAACACACCCTACCTAATAAAACACTACACCAGGCCTTCAAAGAACAAAGGTGAAGAGCTAGTAATTTCCTGCCT